CTAGCCTCTCTTGCCTTAGTTTGTTTCTTCCTCATACACAGAATATCTGTTTCCAAGGCCCAGCAGTTGTTGACATTTGAAAATATCACACTGCAGTGGAACACTTTGTATTTATGCCTCTGTTGAAAGCAAAGTTGTATCTCAAAGTCCCCAGAACCCACCATTTCTTTGCAATTGCCAAAGCACGAGTTTTTGATGAGGGCAGAGTAAGTCAGCCAGCATGCTCTCCACTCCTAATCCAGCCAAAAGCTGCTTAACACATCAGTCTCTGTCCTATAAATCAGGGTAGATGAGGACTATAACTGATTTCCCCTTCCTGCCTCTTTTAGGAAGGACAGATTAATGAAGGTTGCAGAGACATGACAGCTATTAACAGGGATAAACATGATACCCCTGACCTTAACTGCAGTTCCTGGATCAGATGTGGGTGCACGCCTCCACGCGCACACACATGTGTGTGCGGACACCACAGGACTCAGATTTTCCTGGCAAGTTGTCTGCTGCTGGCAAGATGAAGCAGTAATGCTGCTGGCCCAGAGATGCTGAGCTGAGGACTAGCACAGGCCAACAAAGTCAAAGTGAAATTAGGTTTCAAAGTTCCAGTCCTAATTTCCCCCTAAAACGGAGTCATTCTCCTCATTGTTTCCATAACAGTAATATGTGCTTTTGACAAGCAATCTGCACTTGTTTTCACATCCAGACATTCTGTATTGGTTACACTCTGCTTGGAGGCACAGACACTGGCTTTGGCCAGCTGAGATTGCAGCTTTTGTACATGATGCACCTCAGTACGTGATGAAGTCTGCCATACCCTCTGTGTGCAACTCTCAAGGTTCCAAAGAACTCAGAAAGCATTAACAGAACATAAAAAAAAAATAATTTAATTAAAAAAAAAATTCAGACACTGCCAGCCTCAAAGCTCTCTTATTTTACAGTGCTGAGAAAGAAATACCTATACAAGCAGAGGAAATGTTCTAAATTAGGGGAAATCTCATGACTTACTCACATTGCAAAATCCTATTTAGGTGCCTAAATAATAGCAGATTGCAAATATTTTTGTGAGAGTGGCCCTTAAACCTTAACCTTTGCCAACACACATCTAAGGGCTATTGAAAGGCATCCCCTGACCTCTTCTTTGAAAACTGAACAACCATGAGTTAAAGAAAACCTGGGATTTCTGGGAGACTTTCCAAAACTGCAAGCTAACAATGCCTGAAGCAGTCACTGCCATACTCTATGCTGAGGAATTTTCTTCTTGCAAGCTGCTGTAATGTGTGCTTCATTCATGTAATGCTTTTGTGCTTACATATCCCACAAAGACTTTTTATGAAAATAGCATCACCACTGACACTTGACAAACAAGGAGCATTTACTTCTTAATTTTATGGTCACCCACATACATTCATATGTCCCATCAGCAGCTCTCATGATGAAAGTGTGTGTGGCTATCATATCTATTGATCATGTCAGATATGGAGATGATTGCTAGGAATTGGTGGGGATGGTGCCTATTGTTTCTGCATTTCATGCAATAAACAGCATGTTTAGCATGAAAACCATCTGTACATCCAGGCAGGGAAGAAACTGCAATGTGTAGTAAGGACTGCTTGGTTTTTTTTCCTCTTTGATGGATCCCTAATTAACTGACTTTTCTTAGCTGATTGCCAAGGGGATATGCAATGCCTTTTCCTGAAAGACATAAAACCGAGAAGGGAGATGATATGAAGAAGGAACACATAGCCTCATTCAAGGGCAGGCTTGAGCCTGAAGTCAAAGCAAAGCTGACCTAATTATTCAGCATAAGGAAAGAAAATTGATGAGCCCATGGATTTTTTCAAAGAAAAAGGAATCATCTGTTTCTCATGGTCCAAATAGATAAGAAATGTAGTAATGGATTTCATTTATAGCAAGAGAATCTGGGGAAGAGAGCTGAAAAACAGTAAGAAGAGTTTACCACTGGCACACAATGTCTTGGGAAGATACAGATTCTTCCTCATCACAGGCTTTAGAGGGACTTGTTAGCCAAGCATGCCAGAAATTAAATGTGGAATGTTCATCTCACACTTAGATGAGGAGATTGATTAACTGACTCTAGATTGTTTTTTCTAAATTTCTGATTCTGTGGCTTTTAAAACAGAAGTGCTATCCAAAGGCAAGAGCAAGCCACGGGAGCAGAAGAAACAAAGATGACTAGAAATAATGCAAACTGATGAGACTTTAGATTTTTCCATTCTGACAGGGTGGAATTAATCTCATCCTAAAAGCTTTTTAAGCAACTTTAAAACACAAACTGTAGACAAGAACAGCTACATCAGCCATATAGATGCCTTTAGAGAAGCAAACCAGACATTTCTGGAGCATAATTCATATGAACTGTTCAAAACATCCACTTTCAACGGAGTCAACCAAACATCTACCATCTACTTTGTCAGTAAGTCTAAGGATTTTTTTACTGGGAAAGAAATCTGCTGGGAATGGCTCAGTCCCAGGCAACTACCTACGTGCAGCTACCTAATGTTAGCTACAGTGGATCCCAGTACAGGTGACTGGCTTCCCAACCCCCAATATTGCCTCCTGCTCGCCAGGAGTTCTGAACCCAGACCACAAAACAATGGCATTCCTCTTCCTCCCTGAGAAGTAATTCCCAAAACCCCAGAACCCTGATTATTTATAAATTTCTTCTCTCTACTTTCCTTTCCTGCCTTCAAATTTTGCTTTTCTTTACTCCTCTTGCTGCAACATCTTCACTGTTGTCACCTGGCTGAACCTGGAGGATACTGGAGAGATGTAGTGACAAGCCAGCAGTGTTGCTTCAAGATGCTTTTCAGGGAAGCAGAGGCAGGCTTTACAAGCCCTGCACAGTTGGACAGCACTTCCTAATACTTTTAATGTTCTTAGATTAGCTATGAGGAATGCACAGACACGCATTGTGATCACACAAACTTCGTTTGCCAAGCAAAACAAGTTAAAAGCTCCTTTTAAAAAAAAAATTATTTTCTCTCCAACTCTTGCTCCTGCTCAGAGAAGGCTGACTAGATGCATATCAGTTGGTACATCAGGTATTACTGGCAAGCAACCTAAACAAGTTCTCTGATATCAAACCTCCTGAAAAAGAGAGAGCAAAGTTGGTGTACACTTCTCAAAGGAATTAGAGACATAGTCTGATTTTCTGCTCTTTCTTCATTCGTGCAGTAAAAGAACAATCAATGTTCACTGAATCTTTACCTGATAGAAAAGCAAACACTACAACAAATAGCTAAAGTTGTGTTTTCATCATATATTTTTTAGGATTTCTCTTTTCTTAAGATCAGTAAAAAACGGTTTTAAGCACCAAAGTTTCAGACAAAGATACTGCTTACTCAAAGAAATGTTGATATATCAGACAAACAAAGACTAAACAGAGTCAGGCTATGTCTGTACTTTGGCACTAGACCTCCAAAAACCAACTACACACTTCTTAAAGGGATTTTGACAAATCTGTTGTCAGCATTTCTTGAGTGTTTGCTGGAAAAACTGCCACAGAGTTCACTGTGAGGAGACACTGCGCAGCCACCAGTGTCATCCTTCAGATGAGAGAAACAAGTGAATCCAGACTACACAGCCAACTATCATCTCCTTAAAGGCAAGGACATCCATTCTGAGCACAAAGCCACCAGGGAAACTCCTTTGCTGTCAAATGCCCCCTCACCTTTCTAATTCCCATTCTAAAAATGGCTAAAGCCACTTTTTCACCATTGGTACCTTTTGCCTTAGAGTCAACTACAGCAATTTCACTACTGCAAAGTGCAGATCTGGTGCTCTAATTTGGTTTTTATTTCCATATTATAAGGTCCTCTAGAGGAATGCAGAGGGTGTTCTTGCTTCTGTCTGTGCCTGACACAAAAGGTCATCGCTGTGCCCAGGAGACACCTCCTTTTTCAGAGTCATCCTTCAACTCACAGAGCCAGGTCTGTGCAAGTTGCTGCCTTCTGCTCCTACACAGGCTAACGGAGCATTTTCTGGATCTGGGAAAACCAAGAGGCCCTCCAGCTTCATGGGTTAATCAGAAAAATACAATGACACCATCTTGAACTGTGAGAGAATAATTGCATCAAAAACCATGCTGAAGTGGTGAAGCTAAACAGATACACACATAATGACTGTGAAGTGGTTATTGCTGTAAAAAAAATCTTCTGTGACTGATTCTTCAGCCAAGTGTTCTTTCAGACCCTTGATAGTTTAAAAAATATTAGAGATTTTGATACCAATGGATTACAAAGATACCATGGAGGGAGAAAGAGTGTAGGAGAAATAAAACTTTCACTGTGTCTTGTTATGCACAAAAATAAATTCAATGTTGTTGACAGCTTTGCTTGTTTGTTTAAATGTTTGTTTAAAAGCCTATAGTTAGTTTTTTCTTCTTTTTCCTTACAACTGTGATTCCCAAGTCAGGAATATTCTTTGTAACAATGAAGGTCTCTGAACAATGAAGGTCTCTGAAAACAAAACATGTATTTTCCTTAGAGAATTACATACATTGATTTCATTACTGTATTAGTCAGCCTCTGAAAAACAGAACTCATTGAATTTTCTCAGATGACTTTGTCTGCATTTGCTGATTACATTTATCTTCCACACAGAATTGCATCTGTCTTTCTTTATCACATAACTTAAACTGAATCATTAACTAAATCTCAATGGTAGATACTGGGAGCCTAAGAAATTGTGATTAAAAAACCAGAATAAATTCAAAGTCAAAACATTCCTTACCAAAAAAAAAAGGAATTCCACCAAACACAACTTTTCATACAATATGTGAAATTCAGGCTGAATCAAGTTTTATGCTGCAATAGGCAGACAGCTTTATTGCTGCTTTCAATTCTCTTATTTTCAATATTTTGAATTAAAATATTTCTTCTATTTCTGAAATCAATCCAGGTGATACTACTTTAGTTTAATTAGCATGATATGGAAATATGCCCTTTACTCTTACTGCAAGCATTTAAAAAAATACATCTTACCACTTTCATCCAGCAAGAAATCATCCTGGTAACGGAACTTTTCTGGTCCACATGCAATAAAAATGTCATCATCGCCGAAAAAGTCCTGAAGGCACATCACCTACAAGGAAAAAGGAAAAGAAGGCTTTGTGTGAAATACCTCACCATCAGAATTGTAACAATAAATCCCTCTTTGTCTCCATCTGCATGAAAATTCTTTACTTTTAATGGAATCAACAGGGCTTCATCTCCAGATAAATTTCAAAGCTGTGCTCTGACCATCTGTTACAAGTGAGAAACACTTTTATGGACACTGCAGGGAAAGACAAGACAAAAAGCCATAACTGTCAGATTTATTACATGATGCATCTATGGTATGAGGTAAACGCCTTCTGTTTGTGCACAAGGCACCATTCAACAGTAAGTGAGTAATTAATTTGCTTTTCAGTTCACATCTCCATCATTTGGCTGCAATGAAACAAGGTTACAGCTTTGTATGCAGAATGAAATGCAGTTATTTCAGCAAAATCTCTCTGACAGGGAATCAAACTCACATAGGTAAACTAAGCCTCCTTCACAAATCTCCCTCTATGCCAGAGTCAATAGGAAGTTCTCTTTGAAGGCACCAAGCTGAACAGGCAAGTCAGATGAGCTGGGAATAAGTCTTCTAGTACTGAGTAAAAGGATATTCTCTTTCTATCTCATATATGAACAGTCAGGATTACATTGGTGTGTTTTTATGCCCCTACAGGAGATTTCAGAAACTTTATTGCAGTCTTTCAGTATCTAAAGAGGGCTTGGAAGAAAAATGGGGACAGAATTTTTAGTAGGGCTTGTTGCAATGGGACAAGAGGTAATGGTTTTAAATTAAAAGAGGGCAGATATAAGGAAGTTTTTTACAATAAGGATAGTGAAACACTGGAACAGGTTGCCCAGAGAGGTGGTAGATGATCCATCCTTGGAAACATTCTAAGTCAAGAGTTGGATGCAACTCTGAGCAACCTGATTTATTTGAAGATGTCCCTGCTCATGGCAGGGATGCTGGAACTAGGTGAGATTTAAGTCCCTTCCGACCTAAATCATTCTCTTCTATGATTTCCTTACAACAGCTTTTAGTTATTTTACAAGGCACTGCTTAAAAATTCAATCTTTCCAATCATATGGAATCATATTAAATAAAGAATCAGTGCCTTTTACCAAAAACTGACTTTGGACTTACTGACATCTCTGAAAAATTTTAAAAACAAATTAGATGTCTATCCATCTCTAACATAAAAATACTTAATAAAGTCTGTTCTCACTTCACATTCACAAGATTCTAGAAGAGTAGGCTTACTTAAATATTTTTATATTGAGTTTTGTAATGAAATAGCACACTGATGTTTGAACAGGTTAATTTCACAAACAGAGTTTCAACTCTACAGTCAGCAAAGCAACACATCAACAGTCTCTAAAAATTTACAAAACAGTTGAGAACAGTCCAGCTCATATGAACAAGCCCCCTCAGAAAAAGCATTTAAAGTCTACAAAAACACAAATGAAAGAGTTACCTAATGAGATTTTGCCAGATTTTTGCATGAAAAGTACCCCCACCAATCTGAAATAACTGGTGTCTAGGGGTTATAAAATTCATGTCATCATCCCCAGAAACATGGCTGAAGGCTTTGACATCCACAACAGTTATGAGCCTCTATAGCAGAAATGACATAAAGAGGAAAAATAGAGCTACATGCCGTGACTTGCTTGTAGACTACTATTCATAATTAAAACAATTTTAAAGGAAGAACATAAGCAAATAAAAAATCCCAGGAAACTGAGAGAACAACAACTAGATGAAACAAATACCAAAAGAAGAATAAAGGTTTTTCCTAAATTATCCTTTCCTTAAGCAATGCATGTCCTTTTAAATTCAGATCCACCACAACCCTATTTCTATGACCACTGTCATCTTTACACTACACACTACCTGAACATCAACATCAAAAATGTAAATATTTGACAGAGCTTTATACCATGTTCCTACTCAGTTTATGTTCTATTAGTGTATCAGCCTCAGCAACGTTTAAATAAACTCATTTGCTTCCCATCTTTCTTTTTTGTCCACAAGACATATCCTGCATATCTTCCCACCCCATACTCCCACCAAACTTCAAACAGCTCTTCCCTTCAGTCAAGTTCCTCTGAAATTGCCACCTCTCCCACTGCATGTACAAAACTACTAATTTGCAGAATAACATTAAAAATCCTGTGATTTCCTTTTTGCTTCCCAAGTTTGACACACTTTTGGGGAGTGACAACTTTTACATTTGTCTTTATACCAAGCAGAGTATTAGAATCAAACCAACAATAAGCAACTCTAGGCACAAAGTTGAGCTATTTTGACAACAAACATAAATAGAAATTAAATTCACATTTGAGAGAAAAAAAATATAGATTTAATAAAACCCAAAAGTTCTTGGCTCTGTCCACTTAAAAGGGTTTCTTGAAGCCTAAACAAGACATTAAAATTCAGGTAGCAACACTTAACCAGGCTCAACTACGCCAATTTTTAAAGCATCTCAGTTTCAATCAGTGCAATTTAAATGCAAATAAGAAAGAAAATAGGATTAACACACAAAAAATAATTTGTGCTTAGATATCTTTGTGTTTTATTAAACTTTACACTTATAATTTAAAGTGTTCTTATGCTTGCCTCTTTTCTCCTTGCCCTCAGTTTCATACTCTGTATGTAAAATTACAGCTTCTCTTGCCTCCTGAAATTTTAATAATTTTGGAATTATAATACTAGCTCTTAGAAAGGTTGTAGCAAGATCACAATTTCCTTTCCATCCATCTTCTTCAAGAGTAACTTCTCTTAAGGCTTCCAATACCTTGTTATATTGCTATTGGAAGCCCTGAGATGTCCTTCACTGTCTGCATTTTCCGTCCCTTCTGTCTCTGCATCCCTGGCCCTCTCTGCAAGTTCACACTCCTCAGCAGTTAAATTAAAAGGCATCTGACACATACACAGCACCCCCTTTCAGGCTTTTTTGGAGAGAAATCTGCAAACACTGTCTATTCACACCCAGTCATCAGCTAAGCAACAGGACCTGCTTTTTATTACCCATTTTCACTTTTGGAGAAGATGGCGCCTAAAAAGTCAGAGTTTAGAAGACCAAGAATTTTTCTCACCTAAGCTGGACCATAAAAGTGTTTTAGAGGTCAGTGTGCTCTGTTGCATGTGATCAAGTTTAAAATTAGTCAGTTTTTACATCAGTAAATTAGAAAAGCCTCCCTTGGAATTTTCTATTGTTTTCAAGGCACAGAATCCATATTCTTTTTCACAAATAAGGTTTTATTTTTCACAGGGGGGAAAACAAAGTCAATGCAAATGTATACCTTAAATAAAAAGAAAATGAAAAAACATTGTCTGCCACACACATGGTACTAAATACTCTGTGACTCTTTTTAACAAAAACCTTTCTGGTAGAGATGTTATTGAACATTAATGGTGTCTTCTCTTACGCTTTATACACTTTTTTACACTAACAAATAACAGTAGCATTAGCAGGGGCTAGGGAGTGCTTGCATTGGTGCTGAGAAAGACAACAAGCAGCAGAAAGCAAAATCGATCACTAGTATAGGCTTTGGTTATAGGCAAGCCACAAAAATAAAACTGGCTGACCTGGCCACAACCATAAAAAACAGAGGCAGAAAACTTTGTCAAGCCTTAAGTCCCCTCGGTAAGTTGTACACAGTGAAGCCTGGATTCTACACAAATCATAATTGCCCTAGTAAAAAACTCAAGACACCCACATGCCCTTCCAGTGGGGAGCACAGGTGTCTACCTATGACGACCCCCAAATTATTTTGTACCTCAGTAGCTGCTACTGTGCTTTGACCCTCTAGTGAAAGCACCACAGCAGCTGTGTCCCCAGAAGGGACCAGGGTGTGCCAGGCACCCACAGCTGCCAGGGAAGCACAAAGCTGATCAGCAGAGCTGTCCCAGAAGGAGAGCAGGGAGCAAGAGCAGCAAACTTGTCTTCCAGCCCAACCTCGGGACTGGCTCTGCACCATATACACTACATACCATAGGCATTTTGAAAAATTATCTTCACTTTTCCTTCTTTGTTTAAACAGGCAAGCATTTGGAGCCAAAGAGAAATCTCCTAACTAGTATGGGGATTTTTCCTTTGAATGGCCTGAAACATTAAAGTTCACCTCTTTGCAGATGGTCTCCTTGTTATGGAGACCCTCCTTCTCATATACACAAAAGACATCAGAAATTGTGCTTCATACTGTGGAGTGCACAAGGCCCAAGAACAGCAGCTCATAGAGCCAATACCTGGTCATATTCTCTCACCAGTAAGAAAGGGCAGTCAGAAGTGGTTTGGAGGAGGTGCAGAGGGAGGGAGAAAGGGAAAGGAGAACACGGGGGGAAAAGAGGGAAAGGCAAAGGTAAGCAACGGAGAGAAAGAAGAGGGAGGGAATCAAGGAGGGAGAGAGGGGTGGAGAGAGTGATTGGATCAATCCTTTCAGTAAAAGCATGAAATGAAGGCTACAGATGCAATCCTCTTTTATAACTGCTGTATTCTGACTGCACTTAGGGATCTTTTAAACTCACATTTTTAAACACATCCACAAAAAAGCCCCCAAACTAAATTCTTTGTGTATATCAGTCACAGCAAATAGAATACTTTTCTATTCTTTTAAAGTTGACCGCACATCAAGTTAATACTGAAACACTGATATTTTTAAATAAATAATATTCAGAAAACAAAATTTGCCACTGCATTCAGGAACAGTTCATAGCAGCAGCAAGTTACACCACAACCACCATGATTACTATCTCACTCGTTTGTAACAATTTCCATTGTGCTGGGTTCTCGGACAGAAAAGAAGGAGGGGGTATTCTGTGTGTTTGTCTTATTTTAATAACGACTTAATTTGACTTAAAGCTGAAAGCTGTTTTGGAAGAGCAATGAGGAAACCTCAAGCTGGCATGTCCTCAGGCATCATGGCTGCTGGAGAGATGGAAGGAAAAGTGAGGACAAAGAAATGAGGTGGTTAAAGCAAAAGAGATGCAGAAGGCTCTAAGGAAAATTCAAGTGATAAGTAGAGGGTTTTATGAAAAGACAAAGA